AAATATTTCTCAAAATACCTTGACAAGGGTTGGAGAAAGTAATTATAATTTGACAATTGTGGTGAAATTGATTCTTCCCTTGCTTCTTTTAAAGATACAGCAGGATTTCAGGATCTTGTATCCATCAAATTGTGACAAGATTTTTATGAAGTGGTGTACTATGGCAGTTTTCTTTAAATAAGAGTTAACCTCTATCTACAGTATTTATTAGCCTCCCACAGCGAGCCTAATAATTAGTAGAATCCTTGGGCAAAGTTTGGCTAAAAAAAAAATTTAATGAAATTATTTTAAAATTTATTAAATCAAACATTTAATTACAGTGCACCCCTTCTAATTACAAGACCCCTTTAATTCGAGGCCACTTTTCCAAAGAACCAAATAACAATCTTTCATTAACCTTTTAACACAAAGCTAGCTCTCTTATTGGAGACCAACCGCGAGACCACTTCAAATTTTCAAGTCCCAGCGACAGTCTCGAATTGTAGGGTAGACTGTATACAAATAAATATACACACTTCAACTGTGCCACAATGCTTGTTTTCAAGAACGTTGATATATGATTTTATGGTTTTACTACTGTAATATGTAATTTTCAGTATCGTGTGGTGCTTAATTTTGATTGTACACACCAACATTTTTTATCCTTCAGAGAAACAGGAAACCAATGCCGCATTTTATGCCTTGGCTGACATCTCACCACCAGGATTAAAGAGGGAGAGTAATCGTGGAAATAATGTAAAGACATACAGAGCTTCTGTTGCAGAGGCAATGGCCAGTTTCATAGACGTGAAACCTGTAAGTGGCATAATGTAAAAAGATTTAATATTTGGGGGACTTTCAGCATATATTTAGTAGATATATTTTACATTCGGTCAAAAACGATCTGTATTTAATCATTTGTAACTTCTGGCTTCTGATTCAGGCTAACAGACAGATCAAATGTTATTTAAAGCTTTAAAAAATGTGGATACGATGGACCTAATTATTAATTATCGTAAATCACCATCTATCGCACTGTTCTAATTACAGTTTTCTTCTAAAATAATTATAATTCATATTCACTTTGACACTACTACCTTTTTCGAGTAAAAGATAATATACAATGCAAAGTCAATAGTATTGCCACTTGCGTTTATATGAACCAGGACATTTCCAAACTTGGGAATTTGTTGTAGAATGAAACAATGTTTCTAAAGCATACGATTTACTATTGTTGTTGCTTTTTTGTACTTAATTTGTGCCTTTATCGTTGCCTTACAGATTACCAACAATATGCCACAATATCTTAAAGAGAACAAGCAAATTCAACCATTTGTTCTTGTGCTTGGTGGAAGAATGGAACCGGACCAGGTTTTTTTGATAGTTGAAAAACATGTGGTTCCTTGTAAATCCTTGCTTGCGGCTGTAGATATGTGTTTTAAATTATTATATATATTTTGGATAGACTTTCCATGGCAAGCGTCCAACACCTGGGATGCCATACAGAAAATTGTATATGAACTGGGGGAAGGGAAGGGAAAACATCTTACACCGTCTTCCACACGTGCACTTCGTACATATCTTCAACAGTAAGGTTTCAATTCATTGGTTTTATTAGAGTGAATTAACACCATGTGTATTTACAGTTCTATTTTAATTGCCCAAAAGTATTTCCCCACTGGCGCATGAGAAGGAAATATTTCTCAAAATACCTTGACAAGGGTTGGAGAAAGTAATTATAATTTGACAATTGTGGTGAAATTGATTCTTCCCTTGCTTCTTTTAAAGATACAGCAGGATTTCAGGATCTTGTATCCATCAAATTGTGACAAGATTTTTATGAAGTGGTGTACTATGGCAGTTTTCTTTAAATAAGAGTTAACCTCTATCTACAGTATTTATTAGCCTCCCACAGCGAGCCTAATAATTAGTAGAATCCTTGGGCAAAGTTTGGCTAAAAAAAAAATTTAATGAAATTATTTTAAAATTTATTAAATCAAACATTTAATTACAGTGCACCCCTTCTAATTACAAGGGAAGGGAAAACATCTTACACCGTCTTCCACACGTGCACTTGGTACATATCTTCAACAGTAAGGTTTCAATTCATTGGTTTTATTAGAGTGAATTAACACCATGTGTATTTACAGTTCTATTTTAATTGCCCAAAAGTATTGAAAATTTGCTCAAAATATTATCAGTGTATTGAAAATAATCTAAACTTGCAAATTCTTGAATCTTGTAGGAGACTTACAGTTGCAGTGCATACTGTTCTCCCTTAAAGTTCACATTTTTTATGGAAAATTTTAATGCAGAGTATTATGATATGAAAGTATTACACACTCCATGAAATACTCAATGGTGTGCATTATTCTTTCTAATCTCGGATTAATCAGTTGCATTTTCTTATTATATGTATTAACAAAATTTAACTTTGCTAATTGTAACTTACAGTTAGTATTAATGTTTGGAATTTATACTCTATTATTATTGTCACTATCAAAATTAAGTGATAAGCCCTAATTGAGTAATAAATTGAGTTTTAATAATTGAGTATTAAATTGTTAAGTGAGTTGCATCACACCCAAAGTTGAAATAAAGTTATGGTAATTTATGCAAATCTGAATTTCAGTTTGTTCATTGTTATGCTGGTGACGATTTTTCTAGGTCAGATGCAATGATAATATTGTTGGATTGCAAATGTTGAAAACATTAAATATATTTGACAATGTTCTATACATTATTGAGTGTGTGATTTATTTGTAGTTTTCTGAAGAAATTCTAAATTATTTCCGTGTAATATTTATTCAATTCCGTGTCAAAGTTTCTGTGTCAAATTGGTCTTATTTGACCCATTTCCTTATTAATTTTCAACACAGAAATTGTTCAGTTTAACACAGATTTTATTTATTATTTAATCGTTTTCTGTGTTATTTACTTCTGACCATTTTTACCGTGTGATTTTGACCAATAATGCGTTGTCTCCCCGCGGATTCATTTTCCGTGTTAAATTTAACCATTTTTGTGTTCAATTTAACCAATTTTTTTTTAGTGTGTAGTTCTTGTTTCCCCCTTCTTTTATGCCTAAGGCATTCAGATGTGCTGTTAACAAACTTAATTTCTCTTTTTAATTTTTCCTGTGCTTGGAGTCTTCATTGACTATACGTTCGCAAGCGGGTCAATGCTTTTATGAACCTCTCCGTGCATTGTAATAAAAACGCACAAGATTCGAACCATAATATGCTTTTATGAGTTTATTTATATAGGCCCAAATAGGCTTTAATTACAAACAGAATTTATAATGACATAATATATTTAAATTCATTTGTTCTACAGCTTTTCGTTGATGACGGTTGACTCGGTTACACCAATTACTTTCTCGTCTTCTTCCAACACGCTGTCACTGAAATTAAGATGAATTAGTTAATTTGTTAACAATCTCACATGATTTCTCTTATTAGTAATGGCTTCACCGATTTTCGTAGCCTAATTGTAAACATTTATACAGTACAGTATTTTACTTACAGTATCTAATTATTTAATTAACTCAGCAGTAGCACAGGCATTAGTGTCACTTTTATTTTTTTAATGTAGCATACAAAGACAGTCATCGATTGCTTAAATAGAAACGTAATGTTTTATTAGAGCTTAGGCATAATTATGTATTGACTTGTTATCTTTAACTTTAAAAACTGATTTTAATTATTTAAAAAATCGCTACACTAAAATCGATTGAACACAACCATATTATAAACGCAACAGAATTAATTAAACGTGATGCTTTAGTATTATAAATATATAATATGCAGTACTTATATTAGCTGATAACTAAATAACTGTAGAGCATGTAGCCTATATAGTATAGTATGGTGCTGTATAGAAAAGCGTACATATATTATATACAGTATAATATATAATATTTATATTATAAACAATGCTCTATAGCTTAGTATTGAGCAGTACGCAAATCAAATCAAATACTGATACACC